TTGGTTCAACATTTATAAAATCATCTGTATTGTAGGTATCTATTTGGCTAACAGATTCATATTTTTCTGTAAATTTTACAAGTCTGTGTTTTAAAACTGAATTTGATTCTGGATAATAAACTAGGTATGATGAACTGTCTTTGTCATATCCAACAAAATAACCTTTAATGCTTCGTGGTTGTAATTTTTTGGTATTATGTACATATGGGTAACATACTGATCCAAATAAGTGTAATCTCGAAATGTTTGGCTTTAAACCAGTTACTAATCCATATGGTGTACTTTTAATTCGTTGTACATAGCATCGATTTCTTATATATGTTGCTGTGCTAACTGCATAAGTCCATAAATGCTTTGGAAGTTTTGATTCAATAATCATGGCTCTTGCCATGTCAAATAATGAACGCCAATTCCTTTCTGCGGTTCCATTTTGGTGTGGGGAATAAGGTGATGTAAATTCATGTTTAATGGTATGTTTTAGAAGTAATTCATTAAATTCTTTTGATAAATATTCACCTCCGTTATCACTGCGAATACATTTTACATTACCAGATGGGGAAATATCATTATAAAAACTAAATGTTTTAACCTTCCCATATGGAGCAATATCTGCTAGAAATTTTTCAGCAGCTTTTGCAGCATCACTTTTTTGTTGCAGGAAATATGTAAACAAACAACTTGAGTAATCATCAACAAAGTTTATAACATACTTAAATCCACCTATAGCTACAGGTTCTATAGGTCCGGCTAAATCAGCATGTACAAGTTGGAATGGGTAAGTTGCCCTTGTGTCAGGTTGTTGGTTACAAGTGTTAACATTTTTAGATAGAATACATGTTTCACAATCAAATTTAGCAATATTGTTGATTTTCATTTCTTGAGCTACATCTTCTAATTTTATAATATCATTGGTATTGCAATGTCCCATTATTTTGTGCCACATTTCTAAACTTTCAGTTCGTGTTTCATTTATTGAGTTTTTGTAAAAATAATACAAACGACCATATTGTGGGATAGGAAACACAGTTCCCTCTTTAGATATAAGTTCAGCACTATATTTATGGAAGTTGATTCTGGCGCCTTTAGCCGTAGCTGCTTGAACAGAAAAAATGCATTGTGGGTAGGTTGGGATATATAAAGTGTTTTCAAGAGTGACAGTTACTAGTTCATCATTTTTTGTACGTAAATGGGTTTTAACTGTTCCTCTCTTTTTAGCTATATTGTTTGTCCTGGTGCCATCAGCTAACTCTATAAAGTGTTCTTCTGGTTTAAAATATTCATCAATATAAGTGATATTGATGAATTATTCATAATATTCATCAATATAAGTTGATGAATTATTGGTGAATTATTGATGAAATATTCATCAATATAAGTGATATTGATGAAGTATTCATCAGTATTTACAATATGGGTAGTTGCCCCACAGTCTACCAGAAATGTTTTATTTTGTGTTTCCCTATATTGTTCTTCGTTTATTTTAAATGCATACGTGTGTTTTTGTATATTATTAACAGCTTTAGCTTTATCTTTTATTTGTTTTCTGCAAGAACTGTCTTTGTGGGTATTTGATCTACAGTAATTACACCATATCTTTGGTTTAGTTTTTGCTTGACATTCAGAAGATTTGTGACCAATAGTTCCACAAGTGTAACAAGTCAAAACTTTCTTTATATTACCCCCACTAGTTTTGAATTTCATTATTTTGGTATCTGAATGTTCAATATGAGTTGTTCTTGTGTATTCTGTTTCCTCAAAACTTCGTAAAGCCTGCTTAAATTTTTGGAAATTATTACTTGTTTCAGATTGGGTAATTATAGCTACAAAAGCTCTATAATCGTCAGGTAATCCTTTAAGTACCATAGCAATAAGTAATGAATCGCTAATACTTTCGCCAGCTGTATTTAATGAAGTGGCTGATTTCTCTGCTCTAATAACATAATCTGTTATAGACTCGTTGGTAAATTTTTTAAACTTGTTAATTGGTTATATAAGGTAATAATACGAGGTTTACTTGTACTAGCGTAATGATCTTTTAGAATTTTAAAGGCTTCCCTACCTTTATCTTTAGCGTCTCTTATAATTAAAGCTATGGATCTTTCATCCAGAAATTGTATAAGTTCAGCAAACGCTATTTCATTTTCGTCTTCGTCAATTTCGCTATTTCCAATTAAAGTATCTTTTAAATTTTTTAACTTCATATATCCAAGGAATTTCGTTTCCCATATTTCGAATTTCCTACTATCTCCATCGAAAATAAGATTTTGCCACTGGTTGCTGGGACCATAACCTGTTAATATTTTGTGTTCACTCATGATGGAGGAAATAAAAGTCGATATTAGTGTTTATAAATATTCTTAAAAAATACATAAAAACATAGCCTCGTGGCTGAAACTAAAAACATAAAGAATATACGGCACATAAAAATACGGTGCCGATATAACTACAACTTAAAGATGGTGTCATAAAAACTTAACAGTATGAATTGGTTAAAGCAGTTTACAGCTTAATTTTGTGAAAATTTCTTCATAGTTTTTCTATATATAAGTATTAGCCCATAGATAACATTGATAATTTTGTCTTAAACTGCAAAAATTATTTGATTGTTTTTTTTTCTTCTATTTAAATAATATATTAACGTTTTGTTATATACTGGTATATTCAAGAATATACTGGTATATTCCAACTTGAGCTCCTGGTTTATGAGGTAAATAAAAATCAGACTCCACCATGTCATTAGTGTTAGGGTCATTGTATGATATTGTGTTTTCCTTCGAATCTTTAGGTTTGTTATCTTCATTTGTTTATAATTATAGTTTGGCTTTTCTTTTCTTAATCAACTCTACTGATGTTACATTTTTATGTTTACATTCATTTCAGTTAGACTAAATGCAGTAACAGAAAAAGCTAAAATGTGATTTTTTTTAATCGATTGATTATGATTTTATTTGAGATTGATTATGATTTTATTGGAAAGGATTGATCATGATCTAAGCATCTGTGATTTTTTTTTCTTTTTCTTTTTACGTCAATGTTATTTGCTCAGTTAGATTAATAATCTATATTTTTTTTAATCTAATCAGAAGTTTGGTTAAAGCAAATACCTTTTTTTAAGATAGTGATGAAAATTTACTGGTGTATTTTGATTTGAAATTTCCCCATAAAGTTTTGCGGTAAGTTTACTAGTAAATTAAAAAAAATAATTTTATAAGAAAACTTTTGAAAAAAAACATTTGGTGGATTTCCATTGAATGAAACTGAAACAATGAAGTTATCTCCATGACTTTAACCTAATTGACAAGGAATAATTGCTTTAAGCACTTAATTGTTGACCAAATTAACTTTAGGTTTGTAAATGGGGTTTGGAACCTAGTATTTAATCAACCAGCTGTTTTTGATTCTACCTTTATTTTGATTCATCTATTCAAAACACGCCTCTCAATATTCCAATGAAAAACTGTAAACATAGTTTAATGCCTGTTTTATATTTTTTGGTGTCTAAAATATTGAACTCCCTCATTAAAGATCATTAATTAAAAATGGAGGCACTGATACTGGATGCTGTTTAAGGTGCTGGATTAAGGGTGGGGCTTTTATTTTTATTGAGGCTTCATAGTTTTGGAAGCCCGATTCAAAATAAAACTTTTTTAAAAAAATAAATATTTGATTAATGACATGAAAAAGGCTTGCAGCTTTAAAATAGCCCTGGGCTTCAAACGAGACCCTGTTGTATTGACTGGGGATCAAAAATTATGCAACTATCCTAGGTAATAATGTCTTATTAAACTTCTAAATTATTTGAGTTTAAGTGTTTTGTCTCTCAATATTGACTTACATTCACAATCTATTGTATATCTAAGCTTCAGTGAAAAAATGCTTTTATTTCAAATCAATTTTTTTATTTTTTTTATTTTCATTATTGCTTTTGCAAATTTTCATACATAGCCATACATTTAGTATTAGTATTAAACAGGACCTTTCTACATTGACTTTTTGAAATAATAAAAAGACTTGTTCTCAAGAGAGATGTTCTTGTATAAAAGAATAATTTATACCAAAGACCATCACACTATCTTTCTTAGATCTCTGTTGAAAACTTTTTATAAGTCATTCTCATTTAATTTGTCATTCAGCAAACCCAGGTCCTTTTACTGTACCTGTCCTTTCATCCTAAAAAAGTTTTATCCATCTATTTTTTTTTTTTTCCTGCACTTCATCCTTTGTAACTCTTCTGTTCTTCTGTCTTTTGTCAACCATTTCTTTACTCTTTAACTTTGTTCTTTATTTTTTATCAACTCACAATTCTTCTTCAACTTCCTCAACTCCATATTTTTATTATTGCAATCTTACTGGGAGTTAATAAGTACAAAAAAACAACCTACTCATTTGAAAAACTTTTTTGAACTTGCTTTTTAATAAATATTGCATCCGTTGTTTACTTTAATGACAAATAAATTATAATAGTTATAAAAAATTGAAAAAACTACAAATAATGTTAATAATTTAAAAAATTTAGTAGAGCACATTAATTGGTACTCAATTTTAATTTATTTTTTAATTATTTCAGTTTTTTTCAACATGTTATTTCAAATATTTTTATTTTATTTAATAATTTTATTTATATTTTTCAAAATTAATAAAATTCGACTTGAAAAGAGTTGAGGTCGAATGGAGGAGAATGAAGGAGAATGGGGTCGAATGTAATAGTTGAGAGTTTTAATATTAGTTTCTTTTTTTTTTATATGCAGGAAAAAGATTTAAATTTTTAAATTTTTTTTTTATAAAAGTCAAAAAATTTTTTTGATTACTTTTTTAACATGTTTTTTTAATCTTACTGATTCTTTTTTGTTTGTTTGTTGTTGATGTTTTTTACTTAGTTTTCTTCCCCATAGCCGAGGAGGTTTCTCTTTTTGTTTACCTTTTTACTTTTTTTATTATTTTATTTTACTTAATACGAAATTTAATTTAACTTTTGAATTTAAAAAATTTTTTTTTTTTAGTGTTCTAACGAAGACATAAAAAAAGACAGATTAACACGTTTCAGAAACAAGGTCAAATTGTAAGTATTATGTTCTTTTTGTTCAATATAAATTTTTATTAGACAAAGTTAAACTAAAAGTAAATAACTTAAATATATAAATAAATATGTAAACTCAATATAATAGGATTTTTATTAAGGTTTTTATATTAAAATATAATTAACACAAATTTTGAGTTCAATTAAGGAGTTTTTTAAAAGAATTTATAAAAGGAAAAAAAACATAAGCAACTTTAAGAATATTTAAAAAAAAAAGCTAAAATTAAAATTTGTATGGTGATGAATAAATGGTGCACTATTTTGTTTTGCTTTAAAGAATTATAAACATTGCACAAAAATGACAGGTGACAATGACAGACAATGACAACTACTTTACGGTGCAGAATGGTTGTGAAACAAAATTTTGTTTTACGTTACCAAATGAGAAATAAATTATCATCTAACGTATTTACGTAAAACACATAAATTATCGTACTAAGCTTTGTAAATCATCGAAGTTTTAAAAGTTATTTAGTCGATTAAGTCTTTAAGTTTGTTTTTTTTTTTTTTAATTTAGAGACAAGAACATTTATGCATCCTAAACTGATGAAGTTGAACATTTATGCATCCTAATCTGATAAAGTTGAACGTTTATGGATCTTTAAGTGCATGAAGAGCGCTTATGTATTTCTAAATGCTCGTGTTATGACGAAAATTGCTTGAGCAACATTTTATTTTGCATTGAATATGTATTTTTATATTCCTAAATACATTCTTAAATGTCTCTGAATTTATATGTTTTACTTGATAAATCATAAAAAATTGAAATGAAAATCATAAAAGTTGTATAAATCATAAAAGTTTATAAAATCAAAAAAATGAAAATCATAAAATCGTTTCCAATCTTTTTTTTTATATCTTTAAAAATGATTAAAATGGGATCATTTTGTAGCGATTGCTAACCCAAGTGGGTTGTCTTTATACTTTCCAGGTTAAATTCCAGGGTTGTAATATTCCGAAATCCCAGTGTTCTAATATCAAACCCAGAATACTCTGCAATGCCGAACAAAACAGGATTACAAAAAAAACATAAAAATTGTACGTAGTAGTAGAATAAATTTTTTTAGTATAACATTATAGAAAGTAATGGGACGTTTTCAGTTATACTGTAAATAAGTTCTCAAAAAGGCTTAACTTTGATAAAAAAAACCTTGCAAATTTACGCAAGATGTCGTGTCGATATGCAAGTGTAATGCACTATCTTCTTTAAAAATTAATAGATATATACTACCCTAAAAGTGTAATATAATAAAACAGATGCGTGCAACTACCGCCCCATTTTTATTCTTCCAACTCTTTCAAAAATCTTACAAAAAATAATTTATAAAAGAACATATAAATATCTTAATGATAATAAACTGTTAAATAATAATCAATTTGGTTTTAAAAAATGCATTTCAACGGGACACACAATTATTCAATTTGTCCGGCAAATCTCTGAGTCTTTTGATAGAAAGCAATACACATTAGGTGTATTTATTAATCTATCAAAAAATTTGATATCGCCGATCATGAAATTTTACTGCAGAAGCTCAAATATTGTGGGATAAATAACAATCTTTTGAATTGGTATAAAAGTTATTTAACAAATAGAAAACAATTTATCCCCGTCAATAACAGACGCGAAAACGAAATGACACAAACAACTTGTGGTGTTCTTCAAGGCTCATTTTTTGGGCCTCTTCTTTTTTTAATTTATGTAAATGATATAAAAAAAATATCAAACTTAAAAAACTTTATGTTTGCTGATGATACAAATTTATTTGCATCAAACCGTGGCATTTCGAAACTGTTCTACAAAATGAGTAAATAAACTTAAGCTTATCTCTAACTTTTAAGGTGGTATACCCCCATTCATTTTTGAAGAAGATAGCGTATTAACTTTATAAATAATAAATAAAAGCTTTACAAATATAAACAAGATTTCTGATAGAATATCTCATTGATCTTGTCGTATCTCTAACTGGTTTAAATGTAATATTTATCTGATGTGCTCTCTTCAGTAATATTAAGTTGGGCTAGACCTTTGAGTTTCACATTATGTCTCAACAACATGTATATATGAAAACCTTTATAAAGGTCTTTAACTTAATTTATTTGAACCACCACCGCCCGCCAATTTTTAAAATCTTTGTTCAGTTGTTTTTCATTAATTCTATAAAGCTTGATTATTTTATTTTTAAAGAGTATAAATGCATTTCACTTTTAAGATGGTACACTCACACAAGATGGTACTTTCACTTTTAAGATTGTAACATTCACAGAATACATTTCGATTTTGGAAAGGAAAGATGAAGCACTTTATGCTACGCTTTCCGGCATAATGACGTCTGACGGGCTTTTCTTTAATGCGATTTATTCTTTAGTTGATTTACGTGCCACTCTAACTGTCATGGAGATTAAATTCACCAATGGCAGGTAACACAATATGTAGTGATGCGGTAGAAAACAGCAAAATTTAATAATTTATCAACTGATTGAGGGTAGGAGAAAAATTTTCTTTATCTTTTGACGAATGGACTTCACTTCACTTCACTTCAAAATCGTCGATATATAAATATTAACATTTATGGTAAAACTTCTCAGGTTGACAGTTTAGTTATACTGAGAACAACAGGTTCATTGACAGCAGAGCCTTAAACTGTTTAAAAATAATAATAATTTAAAGACCAATGCTCATGATTTACGCTACTTTGCATTTATAATGTTAGTTAGACTTTGCATCCAGGGCCGCCGAGAGGGGTGGGCCACCGGGACAGTTTGTCCCGAGCGGCAGATATCCAAGGGGCGCTAAATGAAATGTAGTTACCTTATAAAAAAAAAAAAGGTCCTTCATATATAATATTGGGAAAATTTGATAAATAAGGGCGCAGGATTGTTGTCCCAGGCGGCGTGACAGCTCTCGGCGGCCCTGCTTGCATCAATAACAATAGTAAAGCTATTGTTATAAAAAAATTTAGAAAGTTATTGATTACTAATCAACATTTATGATTATTGTTCAAGTTCAAGCAAAGCATTATTATAATGCTTTGCTTACGGCATACAACTTGCTGTATTTTCTTTTCTTTATAAAGCAAGAAAATTCGCTACAAATCAACCAGAGTTTTTAAAACTTTTGACATTCATTTTTGACATTTATTCATCCATGAATGAGAAAATAGAGAAAGATTTACTGGATTACAGTCATGAAAATATAAGACCTCAAATTTCACTAACTGAAGTTTGTTATTCAATGACGAACTTCAGTTAGTTAAATTTGAGGTCTTTTATTTTCATACCAATAACTTATCAACTAGCCATTAAAATACAAAACCTTAAATTGAACGATTGAAGAACTTCAACGATTGAAGAACTTTGCTATTATGGAAGCTAGAGTTGTAATAGAAGATTAACGGTTCTAACCTTACAACGATTGCTAATAATTTTATACTTGCCAAATTAAATGACGCTGAGTATAAAACAAGAAAATGCGTACAGATTTAATGGTTTGAGTGTTTTCTTCATTTCAACTGCTCAAAAATTAATATAAATAAAAGATTAATGGAAGGACTTCAAGAAGATCATATAGATCTTATCACGAAACCTTGTACAATTTATAGTTTCAACAATATATAAATAGTACAATTTTACAATTTTTGTGAAGTTATATACATGATAGTTAAATACATTTAAAATAAAACAAATTTAAAATAAAACGGATAATATTTAATCGTTAGGAATAAATAAAGTTGAAAAAATAATTTCCTTTAACTTTTGTTTGAAATAATTATTAGTCAAATGAATAAAAAGTTCGATATTAAGTATAACTTTTTAATTCCAATAATATCGACCTCGATAAAAATATACCAAAAATGATTATTCTTATTTTGACAAAAAAGGGGATAATTATCATTACCTAAATCATATTTATTTTTGGGTTTTAACACACAGAGATTTTGGAATACACAGTCTTGCTTTATATATAATACCAATAGATTTTGCCACATTTCAGAAGGTACTGTCAATGTAATTTTTTCCAAAATAGATTTATATCAAATTTTGAGTCATCTGCAAAGATTATGGTTGACAAGATTGAAGTTTTATTAGAATTATTCATATATATCATAAAAAGAAGTGTTTCAAGTAAACACTCTGATTTTGAAACATGCCCTTTTTCTAAATTTTTTATTTTACTTTTTGTATATTATTTAAGACACACAATAATTATTGCTTTGATTCTAATTTTAATTTAAAAATTAATTTTTAATTGATAAATGTTTATACTTTTGAAAAAAATTTTTTAACGCTTTGTTTTCTGCTAGTACACTCGGTGTAGTTAAGACTTTTTAAAATATTATAGGGTCTGTATGATATTTTGTTGACTCCGACATAGGGGCCATCCATAAAGTACGTACGCATGTATGGGGGGAGGGGGGGGTTTCCTGAAACGTACGAATGCGTACAGGGGGGGAGGGTGTTAACGACAGCGAGTACGTACGCGGTTTAACTATCTCTCCTAAACTTCTTTATAAAAACATTGAATTTCACGTGTTTTAATGTTTTTTTATAAAAACATTGAATTTCACGTTAAAAAATCATAATATAATATATGTTATTTTTTTTTTTTGACTTCAATTACAATTGTTTTTTATTTTTCTTTATAAGTAACGAGGAGAGAAAAAATCGAGCTATAATATCTCCAAATAATGTTTTCCATTTTTTGCAACATAATTCGACTGTAGCAAGATGAAAAGTAACAAAACTGTAATCAAAGAAAACTTCTTCTGAATTCTTTTTTTAATTACGAACCTGGTTTTTCCCATTTCTCTTAAAAGGTTAATATTTTGTTTTTAAAAAACAATAAAATAAAAAAAGGTAGTATTATTATTTTTTTTATCATTAAAGTTAATATTAACATACATTAAGATTGCTAAGGACAGGCGAAGCGAAATGAACATACATGTGACAATGCATATGACAATCATTGTGATAATTATAAAAAATAGTTACTTTAAATGCTGATGGAAACCAACACTTTTTATGATGCAATGTAACGGTAATTATCTTGAGTAAACTAAAACAAAAAAAACTTTCATGATTCTATTCGAAAACTCAATACGCCTCATTTGAAAAAAAACTTATTATTTATTATGACCAAGATGCCGCGCGGGAACGAGAAAAAATACCTTCAATTCCTTGAGTTATATAAAAAAGCATATTCAACACTTGAAAAACAAAAGCAGTATCAGCAAGCACAAGAGTTGTGGAAAACAGTAAAAAACAATGAATCCTTGTATGAAAAAAAAATAAATGAGTTAAAAGAGAAAGTAACAAAGTCGAAAGTATCACTTATGTCATTCTGGGGAAATACCATTTCACCACCTAGCAAAAAGAAAAAAGATATCCATCCAGCGCCGTCTTCGTCAAATGAAACACGAAGTTTCCTAAATGCAACTACGACAGAGCCTGCAAGGATTGAAATTAGTAAGCTAATTTCTGTAATATTTTAAAAACTTTTTCTCTCTTGTGATTTTCTATACATTAGGCCGGGTGAATAAAAATAAGCAATTGCTTTTTCTCAGTAACTGTTCAGCTTTGCGTGAATAAAAATTTGACCAAGATTGCTCAAATTTTTATTCACGTAAAGCTGAACAAATTACTCCAACAACGCTCAACTTTACGTAAACAGAAATTTGAGGATAATTGCTCAATTTTTTATTCACGTAAAACTGAACAATTACTGAGTAAAAG